TATCCATGTACTATGACGTGTCTTCGCGAAAAATTTCTTCTCGCCGGAGCGTGCAATTCATTAACCAGCAGCCGTTTCTCAGACATTGCGAATAATTATTCGGCACGATGCACTTCTCGAATCGTCTTTTCAAATTCTTTTAGCAAAACCTGTACATTATTTTGTAAGGCTGTAATCTTCCTCTCGATTTCGTTCAATCTTTCAAATCTTGAACACTCTGCTACACGTATCGCTTGTTTACTGCGTCAGCATCACCTACCGGTAGCGCTACTCGTCGAATTTTGCGCGACTTTGCATCAAAGTCGGCTCCGACTATGCAAAGAGCGTTATCGCGGACGTAATTTCTGAGCAATCCACGCCACTGATAGTACGATTCGCTTCCTCCTCCAAGCGATAGTCCAAACTTGTTGATCGGCATTGCGATGTCGACTGAACGATGTGCGTAGAACGAGGTTAATTTATAATCAGACCGGCTTCGCGAAGCTCTTCGATAATCGACAAAATCTCATTGTCGTGAACATTATGACCAGCTTGGCGCGAGGCCTCGAGCAATCGCAGACGATCTACAATTTCGTTGGGATCGTCTCAATGGATATAGTCGATCTTGTTATCGTTTAGTGTCATTGTACGCGGTAAATTCGCTCTTTTGTTTATTCCCGTTCCAACTTTTTTATCCGACACCAAAGGCGCTATTATGTTCTTATACTTGTATCCCTTACTACCCATTACTTGATTACTAGGGCTATGACCGCGTCTGTGAGCGTTTGTCGTCAGCAGAATGCTTCTGTGTACGTCGTCATCCGTACAGGTACTTTCGTTGGGAAATTTTATGAAAATTAACTCGTACAGGCCCGCTGTTCCATCATATCTTTTCCTATCTATAATTATATCGTCGTTTTTGTGCAAAGTGATACGTTTGTCACCGAGCATCGTTCCCTCGTCGTTGAAATGAACTCCGTACACAACGTTTATGTTAACGGCTTTCTTACCGCTCAGGACCGCTTTCATATATTTCTGTCCCAATGGACCATAGTTTGTTTGCAACTTTTCCTGACCCTCAGATGTTTGAAGCAGGTGTCGAATAGATGTCACGAGCGGTTCATCAAAAAAAAAATTTCTTCGACGGAGGGAACATGGTCGTGCGATAACTCATGCGGCTGTATTATTTCAGACATTTCATTCAAAGCGGATGGTACGGTTTTCGATCGATTCGACATTGATTTTACAGGCGTGGAAGTCTGTATAGGATTGTCGTACAAAGCACTCGGTCGTTTCCTTTTGAGTTTTGGTTCCTCGTCTTCTCTCGAAAAGATTGTTTCGGTCATGATTGGATCCTTGGAGGAGTCAGTGGTGTTTTCGACTATCTGTTTCAGCGGGTCGACAATAGGTTTGAAGTGTCTCTCCAATGCGATGTCCTCATCCATTTTCCAGTCTTCAAAGCGCGGTATTTTTTGCGAATCGAATCACTCATTTTCGCAATCTCCTTCGCTACCTTCTCACGATCTTTGCTGTTGTCCATGTCAACGTATCGATGTCAACTGAT